ATAATTGTAAATTATCAATATATACAGTTAAGATTTATTAAATTTGTGAATATGTTGCTTTCTTTTACATGAAATGTGAATATAAAATGTTTTATACAGTATGTTTATTTTAAAGATATTTTATGAGTGTATTTGTTAAATTTAAAACTTTTGAAATATTGCTGTAATAATTTATTTAAAACAATTAAAAGTCTGATTCTTTTATAATTAGCTTATATTTAAAAAATGTTTTTAATTGCATTCATAAGTTACCTGTTATTTTTTAGGACATTGATTTCTAATGGTTCAAGTGCAATTATTGATATTATATATAGAAAACAAATTATCATTATTATAATCATCCAATATAAGCAGTACATTGTTTTTTGCTTCATTTGATTATTAAGAAACTCAATTTATATGAGTGTAAAAGTATCTCTTGTTATAAATGAGTTCACTTTATGCAATTTTGAAAAACCAAAATAATCCTTAAGTTGTCATGTATCTATATACTACTCAAAAACCTTATAAACTGCAGCCAAATTTATTGATAATAAATTTGGCTGCAGTTTATAAGGTTTTTGAGTAGTATATCCTTGTTACGATATGCAGTCTACGAAGAGGTCATGCATCTATATCTATAATTCGAGCACCACACCTGTAATGGTTTATTGTGTCTAGATTTTCTCAATTTCAAAATTCAAACAATCATAAATGATAATTTTGGTATCTTAAATGTTTTTAATCACAATAGCCTGATTTTATGGCCATTTCCTCAACAGAGTTGTCAATCTGTTGGCCTAAAACCTTCAAAGGAACGAGGAAAGGTCGATCCGGATTTGGTACTTGTTTAAGTTAAATAACTTATGAAGTTAAGTTATTATTTATGTAATCTTTGGAAAGAAAATAAATATTTTTAATTTTTAAATATCTTTTATTTTGGAAGTGCAACTTTATTTTACCCAGAATTAGATAACCCAACAAATAGGGTATAACGTTTTGCAGGGCTTATCACACCAAGGTCGACTGGAAGAAGGACCAGAACTTTATAAAAAAAGGGGTTGGTCCTTAATAATCACATATCAAATTTAGGTAAGTATGCATTTCGGGTACAAGGACCCCTCATCAGCTTACAAACACATGGCAACAACGTAACAAATACAATACCAATAACCTGTCGGTACAACGGGGTAATCAACATATGCAGTGCACTGCATTTACAANAGTGTATAAGTTACTTTGATAAATTGTAAATGCAGTGCACTGCATATGTTGATTACCCCGTTGTACCGACAGGTTATTGGTATTGTATTTGTTACGTTGTTGCCATGTGTTTGTAAGCTGATGAGGGGTCCTTGTACCCGAAATGCATACTTACCTAAATTTGATATGTGATTATTAAGGACCAACCCCTTTTTTTATAAAGTTCTGGTCCTTCTTCCAGTCGACCTTGGTGTGATAAGCCCTGCAAAACGTTATACCCTATTTGTTGGGTTATCTAATTCTGTCTAATTTACAGTCGCGGGCAAAAAGCGTTGTTTATTATTTATTTTACCCATTAACTATATGCAATTTCACTTGCATGCAATGATTTCTTGGAATGAATTAGCCTAATATGAGAATATTTTACACCAAAATAAATGTATTTTTTTACAATTCAATTTTGATATTTGCTTTTCTGCAACAGTTTATTCATAATTTTTTATAAATAGAAATGAATGATCAGTAGGATAATTTATCATTGGATACAAAGTAATATATGATACATTATATTTTGAAAATTTCATATGTTTAAAATGGTTGATTTACAATTGAAAGACCACAGTCATTAAATTTAAGAAAGAAAAATGAATAGCAAGTTTCTTCAATTGAAGAATCAATTGATATTGCTATTGTAATGGATCAAGATTTTGCTTTTCCTGTATATATCAATAATTATCTTTGCATGTTTTAAGAGAAATACTTCAAATTTAATTCCAAAGTATAAAAATGTTAGTAAAAAAACTTGTAACACATTTGCTAAATTGAATACATTAATGTTTTCTGTTTTTCTTATATTTGAAATAGAATGTAAAATGCATTTCAAAACATTTTGACAAATCAATTTTAATTGATAACAGTAATAAAATTAATTTAAAAATTTAAATAGTTTAAATAAACAATTAGCTTAAACTATTTTTTTTTTTTTGGGAAATAAAAAATTTAAAATTTATAACTAACTGTTCTCTAATTAAAGTTACCATCATATTCTTATTTGTTTAAAACTGTTCTTTATGAATTTCTATTTATTCAAATTAATCTTTACTAATAAAACATCCTGAAAAGATAACAATTCTGCAAATTTAACTGTCTCCAAATAGAAGAAACATGCTTCTAGAATAATTGTTTTGAAAGAGAAATAATTTCTAATAATAATGAACAAAAAAATCAATATAGTGAATGAATAATTCAGAATTAAACATCATGTTTGATTCCATAGAGAATACTTTTCTGACAGTTAACAATTTTTAAAATGTGACTAATGATTTCAATGATCCCAATATTTATTTGTTTTCTGAGAAGAGTCAATCATATCACAACTGACAAAACAATTTTTTAATAGTGGAATGGTGCTAAAATATATTTTTCAAATAACTATTAAAAATTGACTTATATAGTTTGAAAATTATTATAACAACAGAATCTCAGTAATTTAATGGGAAAAACTATACAAATTATGAATTCTATACATATAAACTTTCAATATATTTTCATATCCTTTAATTGTCTTTAGCTGTGTTAAACAACACAGCCCTCAAAACTTTGCTAGGGTCCAATGAAATTTAAAGCATTAGCAAACAAAAATGTTTGAAAAGTAATAGAAGAAAAAATTTTTATTTGCTATACACTTTAAGATTAATTAATGATACATTAGTATAATTGAAATGGTAATCATCTTATTACTTGCTTATTTTCATGACAGACAAAACCTTTCTTACTTAGTTTGTACTCAGTGTGTAAACAGCTAGAAACGTTTTTGGCCTTCTTCAGGTATACTGTGGTCTGTTAAAATGTTGGTCCCATCAAGAGCTATCCGCACACCTTACAATTTATAGCAATAAAAAATTTAACGCCCTCAGTATTGTCTAAACCTTTTCAACAATGATGATGTCGCTGGTAAGGCAAAACCTATGTAAACAGTGACACTGTTTGAATATCTACCAACCGACATTCTAACAGACCAGAGTATACCTGAAGAAGGCCTATTAAGAAGACCAAAAACGTTTGTACTTAGTGTGTAAACGGCTAGAAACTAAGTGAGAAAGGTTTTGTCTTAGTTATTTTTCATAATAGTGTATTTTTAATATAGATTCAGAAACAATATTTATTGTGTTTATTATGAAATAGAATATTTAGCAATTTGGATTTAGCATCACATCTTTAATTCAATGAAGATACATTACTTATTACTTGGAAGATAATACTCAGAGAATTTCATACCATTTCTGAGATGTGGAATTTTCATGAAAACTTCATGGAAAATATGGAATGCAATATGATATATACATTATATTATGTGATAATTTTATTGATAAGAAATTGAATATGATATGAAAAAATTGTGGATAATCATCATTATTTTGCAATAAAAACTTTTGTTTTTGCAAATTATATTTATTTTGTTACTTTTCAATACTTCTTAGATTCAAATTTTGTAATAGTGAACTAGTTTAAAAATACTGCATATTTAAAAATAATATTTTATTGTAAATTTATGTCAATGTAAAAAAAATAAAACAATTTTAAATTATTACAAATACTGTAATTTTATTACCTTAGTATGTTATATTTGCATAATATGTTGTACATATTTTTAATCTCATGTTATTTTTAAAAAGTATAAAATTATTATATTACAAAATGTAATTCCATAAATTTGTTTATACATATCAATTTACAATTACTTTACATGAAGTATCACAATGGAAATTATTATATTTATTTATAAAATTCATTTTAAGATTTTAGTTTGGATAATTTTGAGAACAAACTGAAATTAAGAAATAAAATCACATAATTTGAACATTTTTAAAACAATAATAATAATTTTAGAATTATAAGCATTAACAATAGTTACATATTCATCATATTATTAAATCAAATGAATAATTACAATGCATTCCAATCATAATATATCTTGAGAATAAAACATTAAAAAAATTCTCATCAAGATTACAATATAATGATTATGATTATTATAAATCATATCACATATTCATAATAATAATTGTCAAATTTAAATCAGAATAAAATATATATAGGTAGGTAGAAATATATTTGAACATAATATTTATAAATGGGTATACAGTCGACCTCCTTATAACACAGGTTCCTATAGTTCAGATTCCTATATCACGGCGAAAAAATTGTGACAGTATTCGTACAAACATGCTAAAAAAAACTCCTATAATTTGGTAAAACATCATCGCTGACTCGTGTTGCGACAGGATTGGTCGAATCTAGACCAATAGCGGATAATGCACAAACCGTTGAGTTTAAACGAGCAGCGGACCTACTAAAAACCATTTATTATTTAACATCCATAAAAATTATATTTATATTAATGATGTCTCCAAAGTTCAGCGAATTTTTCGCAAAAAAAAAATAATTTATCAGGAAGCATGCGAGCACCATTCGATGACAAGCTCCACGACGAAAACAAGCTTAAGCAATGGCGTAGTCGAACAGTGCACACTCGGTAAGTAATCCTACAATTTTTTGTTTATAGCATAGTTTATATGGATTATTCCCAAAAAATTATACATATTTTGGAAATGTTGAGTCGAATTAGTCTAGAATCAATTAATTTTATGGAAGAAACCTTTCAAACAGCTGTAGTCCATAAACTGCATATGTGCTGGGCTGTGATTGGCTGGACTCGTAGAAAATGGATTCATAAAAACCGGAACATATCTATCGTGTTATGGGGGTCGACTGTATAGAAATATATTTAAACCTAACATTATTGTAATTTTATAAAAAAAAATTACATTTTTGAAATGAATTTTCTGTTAATTCAAAAATTATTTTATCTAAATCAGCGACTTTAATACTTTTATATATTTTAAATGTTTAAACATCATTGAAGTTTATCGTAACTTGTACAAACAGTTTGCTGATTTACATAACAAAAATATCATATAATTTGGATTTAAAATAATGATTATAAAAAATATCAATAATTTGAATTGGATAATTTATATTTTGTCATGTAACAATATAAATTTGGTTATAAAGCACTCTTTCTCTGGAAAAAAGCCATGATTACTTTAGGAAAATCTGGTGATAACCATCGTTCACATAATATTTCACATTCTCTTTCATTCACTTTATGAAGCATCTCTCTGTCATGGCCACGAATCAGATGTTTAGAATACAATAATGACTAAAAAAGAAATAATATATATAACAACACACATTTTAAAGATATTTATACTTCATAAACAAAAATACATGTAATCAATTACTCATGAACAAACATTACTACTAATGGAAAAATATATTATTAGTGTAAGACACATTTTCACCTATTAATTTTAATGAGGTGAAAATATAAATTGCCATTTCTCTCTTCATTAATCAACAAAACAACAATTTTAGTTCTTTAGATCTTACAAGACTGTTCAATTTATCAGCATTTCAGTTTCTGTAAACAGCAGTGTAAAGTTTTCTATTTATTCAGAAATATATATTGATTTGTAGAATAATAAAAAAATTATTGTAAACCATTTTCTTCTTCCTTAAAAATTAATTATTATTTCAAAATGAGTTTCTGTTCTGTTAATTTATATATAGAAAAATGTTGAAGAAATAATTTAAGAAAATTTATTAAACATCAAAATTAAAATTGATAGCTAAGTCTGTCAGAGAATGGTTGCAATTCCGTCATTTTTATCAGTTCATTTTTTCATTATTTTTAAAGGAAATAAAAAAAAAAATTTTGGTGACCAAACAGCCTACAAAGGAAGACTGATTACCAAAAATTATATTCCTGACCAGTGAAAGTGAATAAATGATGTCTGTTCTTAGATTAGATTGTCTTAGCCTTCAATTTTAATCTTATTCATCATCTGATGAAATTTTTTTTAAATTCAAAATATTTTACAAATACAGTAGAGCGTCACTTATCCGAAAGCATTCCAGTTGGCAAATTTAAATTTTCGCTAGTGCTGTGGTGCTGCAATCTTTGGCTATATCTTGGGTTACTCCAATATTTTTTTGTTGGTGTGTGTTTTTTAGCTGGTGCACTGGCACTTTTGTTTGGTGCTTTTCTGAGGACTGTGTGTCATGCTGAATCGAACATTTTTGATACTAGATCATCTTCTAAAGTATATATTTTTTGGTTTTTTATTTTTCAATATATTTATTTTGTTTGTAAGAAATAAAGAAATAATTTTTAACGATACAATAGTCACGATTATTATTTTAAAAAGTATATGTTAGGTTTAACATCAACGAAAATTCAATGCGAAGTGACACACAACAGAGAAAAATTTCAACATGGGATAGGTTAATATATTTTTTCGTGCATAATCGGTTATCTGAAAAATAAGTTATCCGAACAACCTCAGTCCCCAATTGATTATTCAGATAAATGATGCTCTACTGTATTCATCACCAGGGGACAACTAAAAATCATGCATTTACTTCAGTAGATAAAAAGCTCTTATGGAAATCTGTATTGTTACCAGTTCCAATAAAGGATTTTTTCATTATTTTTAAACGAAATTTTTTAAAACTTTTGGAAACCAAAGTAGCCTACAAAGAAAAGTCTGTTGTCAAAAGTGGTATTCTGGAACAGTGAAAGTGAATAAATGGTGACTATTCTCCAACAGACTTCAACTTTAATTTTAATCTTAATTACCATCAGGTAAATATAAACATTTTTATTTTAAACAGAAAAATTTAAACAATTAATACATAATTATGTTTGAGAGAAGTTAATTTTGTGGACTTTCACATAACAATATCAAAAATAATTTATATAGAAAAATACTATAAAATTAATTTAAGTTTATATGCTTTATATATTTATATAATATATAAAGCATATGTTTATATGTTTTAATACTTAATGTTCAATGTTCAGTTATATGAAATTTTTTTTATAGCAACTACAAAATATTAAAACAAATAAATTAATTAGAAATTAATAACAGCCAGAGCAAAACAACTGACTAATAACTTCAACTAGTAATCTAGTAATTTAAGATTTGATTTATGAGAAAAATTTATATCATTGTTTAAGAATTGTAATTTTGCAGTTTAATTATATATGATAAAGAACCAAAATTGATTTTTTAAGTAGTTATTTATACAATAAATAAGATTACCATATAATATTACTCACATCTTTTGGCAATTGCGACATTTGCTTTATACGAGTATTAATTTCTGTCTTAAAATTTTCTTTTGAAATTATTTCAGAAATTAAACCTTGATCCAGTGCTTCTTTTGCATTTAATTTTTTGTTGAACAATAGCATTTCACTTGCCTAAAATAATATAAATTATTTGTCATAAATTTATGGAAAAATATTCAATTAATTTAAAACTTAAAGTAGTTCATTCTCACTCTATGTTAACTGTTATTCCAAAAGAAGAAATGAATTACAGGTCAATATCATTGTTTGTGTATATGTTTAAAATTTTTGAATTGTATCTGTACTGTATATTCCAATAATTGCCAAAATCAAATCAAATATTAACATTACAAAATTAAAACTCAATGAACACTACTTGATCCAGTAAGAAATATTAAAAACTTTTGAATCCAAAGAAGTTGTGTTATATTGTGTATCACAATTATTTTTAGAGTGTAAAATCCCATTCACTATCTATCTTCAGTATCTTGGGAAATGCTAGGTGATTTGTATACAGGAAGCAAAAGTGGCTCTGGTGATGCTGTGATAGTTCCAACCCAGCCAAAACTCTTTTGGACTATTCTAATAGCTACTGACTTTTGGTTGATGGAACATAAAAAATGATGATATTAACTAATAATAGTTGATACTAAATGGAAGTGATGTTAATGAAAGTCCACTGTGCTTTGATATCCACGATTCTTTATCAGTTGGCTTAATAATAATTTTATTTTTCACTTATTTAAAATTTAAATTTGAAAGTTTTCTTTGTTACCTTATTTTCCAATTATTGATATTTCACAGGATTCTGTTTTAAGCTCTCCTTTCTATAGACTGTCTTGACATATCCTATTTCCACACTTAGCTATAATTTCATAGTTTATGTGAACAAACAATACCACAATTTTAAATTATGATTAAAGCCAATCAATTACAAAATAAAAAAGATTAATTTGTTCAAAATGGTAATAATATATTTATTACATAATCTTATAAAACTTTATTTTACATAACTAATTAATTATATTGATTCTTTTAATGGCTTGGGAATCATTTCTGATTCAAAAGTATTGTTTAATTGTCAAGTAAAAAAAAAACCCTCAAAAAAGTCTATTCATTCAATGTTTGGTGTTATTGTAAATGTGCTTTTTGTTGCATATTGCAAGCATTATTTTTAAGTAATTTTCAGTCATCACTAACTAATGTCTACCTGTTGGGAAATGGCCATATATGAACAATATATAAAATTACTTCAATCCTAAACAAAATCTATCTATTTTATTAATAAACTAAGCAATCTTCTGTTTACTTAAAACAGTAATGTTGCTAGAATATGCCTTGAATTTCCTGATTTTAAACAATGTATTAAATATTTCAATTGTGTTTTATTTCACATTTTAACAGTGTATCTTCCTGATAGTGTATCTTTACATGTTTCCATAAGTCACCCAGTAGTCATTCATGTTTAGCTGAACCATTTTGTAAGTTAAATATTTCTAAACAAATGTATACAATAAGGCCCATTCCCATGTTTGTAAGGTAAAGATTTTTTTAATTTTTCATTTTAATTACTTTAAATCTTATTGCAATGTTTTAATAATTCTAAAATTTTATCATCATATTTGTTTATATATACTTTTTATTTTATTCTATTTCATACTTATTGTTTTGTTGTAAGTAATTAAATTGGGAATGTGTTTTATTAGAGGAAGTAATTACTTGTTCCTGTGAACGTTACTTACTGCTTTAAAATTAAAATAAATATATTTTATAAATAGTGATAATTAATGTAGAAAAATATAAAAAAGAATATGATGATGAAATAAATGAAATATACATTTTCTAAATTTACATTAGAATTTATTGCAGTTAGTTAGTTAATGAATCCTTTATTAAAAAAATATCTTTAAAATTCTTACTTTTGCATAACCCATTATTTTAGGGAAAATTACACTGGAACAGGCTTCTGGAGACTGTGCAAGCTGACTGAATGGGGTATGAAAAGTAGCCTAAAGAAGAAGAAAAAAAAAAATTTATATACATATCTTTTTATTTTACACACACATTAATTATAATTTTGTATGCTAATCTATGGCAGTATATAAGCTTCTGCAGTGAAGCTTATATGCAGTGCCTGCAAAAATTGCTAGAGCAGACATAAAACCTCCATATAATCTGTTCTGCTGTTATTCCATGAATCTGTAGCAGCTGCTGAAAGCATGGCTTTGATATGAAAGTCAATAAAAAAAATAACTTTAATGTTGGTAGTAGCCAGGACACAAATTCCAGAGTTGATACACTTAGCTCTTATTCATTGTAGAGAACTAACCTTAGTTCAGACAGACACTTGCTACAGAAAGCAAAAGCATAATGAAAATATCAGTTTATTTTACATAGTGAATTTGATTCTTAGTGCCATTTTGCAAAATGAGCACATGTGTAAACTACAACAAATGCAGTTAAAACAAGATATCTACTGATAACAGCAAATTGTTTATGCTTCCTATTGTGAGACCTGTAAGGCCCCTGGGTCTAAATTAATAATTTTATTAATTATGTTAAATATTGTCACCAAATATTACTTCATTTTTGGTGAGAAAAATAATATTTTAACGAGGGGAAAGGCAGATAACAGATGTTACTTCCTTTCACAGAAATTAGAACATCCTCTGACTTTCCCTTATCTGGTTAAAATCCCGCTCAGATGGGAAATNAAGATATCTACTGATAACAGCAAATTGTTTATGCTTCCTATTGTGAGACCTGTAAGGCCCCTGGGTCTAAATTAATAATTTTATTAATTATGTTAAATATTGTCACCAAATATTACTTCATTTTTGGTGAGAAAAATAATATTTTAACGTGGGGAAAGGCAGATAACAGATGTTACTTCCTTTCACAGAAATTAGAACATCCTCTGACTTTCCCTTATCTGGTTAAAATCCCGCTCAGATGGGAAATGTTTACCCTTCATTCATTCCCCTTTCATCCGTTCTCATGAAAGAGTTACTGGCTGATGATTGGTTGAAAATCAGCAGATATACAGGGAATTTGTCAGAATTCGAGGAGTTCAGCGACAGATCTGGAAGCGTCCAAACTCCATACATTTTCCTCCTGATGACCAACGTCCTTAGACGAGTCACATACAGAATAATTCCAGAGTTAGCACTTAGAAAACATACTTGGATTTTGTGCACATATTGATCTCCCATATGAAGAAGTAAAGGAACTTTATCTCCAAAGTGTCCTTTGCATACAGAGAAGAAGGCTAACGACAACTAAACAGGTTGTATGTTTTATAACGATTTTGTGAGCTCTCTCTCGATCGCGCCTCAGTATAGTATAAGTCCATGCCTATATCGTGTATATTAATTATCGTATTTATATCCCTCGTTCCTTGACATTTGTACTAGTTTACTTATTGAATCATTAAATTTACTTTTGTTTGTTTTATATAAGATATGGCTCTTAATTTTAATCATAATAAGGTCTCTTATGCGTGAGTAGTAGTGGTTTGACACATACTGATCACAAAATTAATTTCATGAGTAAATTTCAAATAAAAATTCGTTGAATGGAATTATTTCAGATCACAAAATTAATTTTTTGAATAAATTACTATCGAATAAATTAAAATTGCAAATAAAAATTTGTTGAATGGAATTATTTCAGATCACAAATCTTAATTTTATTTTAACAATAAGGTTATATTAATTATTAAATTTTAAATTAAATTAATTTTATTTTAACAATAAGACTGTATTAATTATTAAATTTAAATTTTATATTATTTTAACNTTTGTGATCTGAAATAATTCCATTCAACAAATTTTTATTTGCAATTTTAATTTATTCGATAGTAATTTATTCAAAAAATTAATTTTGTGATCTGAAATAATTCCATTCAACAAATTTTTATTTGAAATTTACTCATGAAATTAATTTTGTGATCAGTATGTGTCAAACCACTACTACTTGCGTGTTAATCCGCGTATAATAAGATTGATTAACTGGTGTCGGGACCCTGACATTTGGGATAAAGACCTCACAGTCTTGAATCCCTTTTTCCCTAAATATTATCGCCCTCCCGGTCAAACGAATCTTGACATAAGATCGGATCTCTCGATCCGAAACTCGGAGAACTATTCTCACGGAATAGTGCCGATTAAGTGTTACAAGAGTATACTTACTCCGTAACCTCGGCTGATCTCACACTATTTATCAAAAAGATTTTTTAAATTAATTATAAAAACTGTAAGAATATAATTAGAAAGTACATTCTTTGTTGCTGTCATGTTTAAATTATCTGTTATCATTTTTAGAAATTCATTATTCCAATTAGTGGTGAATGCATTTCACTAAAGGAAAAGTTCATGTTAAAATGTGATTACAATTCACAAAACAAACTAACCATAAAGAATATTGCTGTTAATGCAATATTCATTTTGTGTATGAACTAAGCTGAAAATAAAAATATTGAAATTATATTCTATTCACGTTATTGCAGTTTATTTTTAACATTTATTATATTATTATTATGGTGGCACTAGTATAGTCCCACTATAATAATAAATATTTGGTTTATATACCAGAGCTTAATATTATGTCTTGACCCTGGTCTGGTCAAACAACAAACTATGATTATGTTTATGTGTTATTTGTGTATGTATCTGTGCTTAAGAATGTCCTATGCAACATGTGTCTAGTATGGCAGCTTTTTGTAGTATTATATTAGTAGTTAGTCTATGCTGTTGTGAAGCCCTAATGCTTCTAGACTTTTGCATAGTGTATGTGGTATGAAATCTGTGCAAGAAAGGACTATTGACAAAATAATACCTTATCTATTCTCCGCAGATGCTTTATTTCATGGGCAAGTTCTAAGTATTTACTAATTTTTTCAGTGTATATACTTTTTAAATTGTGAGTGTTTGGTACTGTTATGTCTATAGTGTATGTGATTGTTTTTGTTTTTGAATATGGCATAACCATATCATACTTTTTTGTTATTTTCTAAGACCATCTGATAGGTGTATTTGTCGTATGGGTTTGGTATGTAGAAGTTTGCATTTGAATGCAAGCTTTTGATTTATTATGTTTGCTATTTGGTTATTTTTTTAATTAATTACATCAAATTTAACTATACAACAAATTTTTATTTCTTTACAGGAAATTATCTATACTTAAAAATAATGAAAATTTTGTTATCCTGTTAAATAATATGTTAACAAAATTTTAAACTGCATGCTTGCTTATTAGAATAAATTTTAATTTATTAAATATAAACTTATAATATACTACTATGATCAATAAGTATTGGAAATGGTTCATTTAAAATGCATGCATGCAAGAGGGTGCTGTTGTTATTTTCATTGTTTAATACAATTTTCATTGACATCTAGCAGCAAGTTGATTTGGTATGTCATCATCTGTTTTCATTTGCAAATAAACACTTGTTTTGTGTATAAAGAATTTTTTATCCAGTGATTTTTCAAAATGTTGAGTGTAATAGAGCAAAGAATGTGCATTAAATTTTGTTTTTAAAACAATTACTGCTACAAAAATTGGAAATTTTGCAAAAATGCATTGGTGACAATAGTCTATCAAAAACAAGAGTTTGAGTGGTACAAGATGTTCAAGGAAGGCAGAGGGATGCATCAAAGATAAACCACACTCTCTCCGGTAAACTATCTACTCCAACTGATGAACATGTCATTCAAGTCAGAGATTTGGTGCTTAATAATAATCATTTAATAATTAGGGGCATTATTGAACATGTTCCAGTATCATCTAGATCTTGTCAAGCAATTTTAAAAGATCATTTGGGCTTGCAGCATGTCACTTCTCAAATTGCCCATAAAACATTGAATTTTTTCCAAAACAATAACATATTCAAGTGGCCAAGGAAATGCTTTCTCAAGGCAAATTGTTCTTAAAGCACATCATGTTATCTGATTACCATACTTTCCTTATGTTATGTGAATCGTTCTTAAAACACATTGTGCTAAATGTTTTTGATTGATTGTCGTGGTGTTGTGCAGCATTGATTCCTTCTGACTGGCCAAACTGTTAACAAATAATATTATTTGAGCATTTTACATTGTTTGCATAAAGCAATTTGTTGAAAATGAGCCAATTTATAGGGACAAAACTTATGATGGATTTTGTACCATGATAATGCACCTGCTCACAATGCTCTTGTTTAATATGGTTCTACAAGTTCTGTATTCATCCAATATGGCTTAAAATTTTTGAAAATATTATCTAAAAATTTTTGCAATCAGTGAAAAAATTTATTAATTTGGTTAATCTAATAGAAATTTAAAAATGCTGGATCTCCTGCTTTCAATCCCAGATGAAACAAAGCTATTTTTAAATTTCTTAAAAATATAATTCTTTGGCATATCTCAGTGATAAACAGAGAAAAAATATCTAATTATTTACTTATATTATTTTATCTATAATATAAAAATAATTCATTTTTTAAATAAATAAAGGTGCACTGTAGTAAGAATCTGTCTTTTTATTTAGAAAAACTATTTAGATGTACTCTTCAAATAAGCCCTAATCAGAAGCATCACTATGGAATACTCTCATATATTTCTCAAATGTATTTTGGCTGCTTGAACAGTTGAAAACGAGAGAAAATAGAAAAATATTGCTGATGAAGGATTATTTGAAGTGTGTTATGTTAAAATTTCATAAACTGGTTTACAAATTACAGTGTTTGAATGAAACTTTATTTTCAAATTGTAATGAACTAAACAAACATTATTATATCAAACATATCTTCCTTTAACAGAAATTAAGTTAAGCACTAGGCAATTAAGCAATTAAATAGAAATTCTCAAATGTAATTATATATATATTGGTTTGTTTGGAAAGTTCATAGCAATCTTTAAGAAAAATAAAAGAAATTGTTTTAAAACTAAAAATATACTTTTATTCCATTACATATGCGCCATTGTTTTTAATGACGTGTTGTCATCTATGGGGGAGCTTCGTGATACCTTCTTCATAGAACTTTCTAGTTTTTCCCACAAAAAACTGATCCATGTGGTTTTTGCAAGTTTCCAAAATGTCAAAGTTTTTATCATGAAGGGAATTTTGCAGAGAACAAAACAAATGATAGTCCAACAGGGAAAAGTGAGTATGGGGGTTGAGGTAAAACATCCCAGCCTAGTTCCAATAATTTTTGGCATGTTTTAAGATGTGTGCGGTCTGGCATTATCTTAATGTAACACAATGCCTTTTCTATTGGCCAGTTCCAGATGTTTTTCTTTAATTGTCATGTTCAGTTTATCCAATTGGGAACAATACTTATCAGAATCAATTATTTGATTCTGTGGAAGCAGCTCATAGTACAAAATTCCTTTCTAATCCCACCAGACAGTGAGCATGACCTTCTTTGGATGAAAAACCGGCCTTGAGTTTTCAATGGAAGTTCATTTTTCTTACCCCATGATCGTTTTCAGCTGATGTTGTTATAAACAATCCACTTTTCATCACCTGTCACTAAACGCTTCAGAAAAGGATCATTTTCATTTCATTTTTCAAGAGAACAATCAATCACAAGTGCATATGCGATCCAGTAAGTTTGTTTCTGTTAAGTCATGAGGTATCCAAATGTCATAATGATTCACATATCTGAACTTCTTTAGATGTTGAAATACAGTATTGTTTGATGACTTCACTACATCTGCAATCAAATTATTTCATCCAATAATGCTTTGATCTGGTCCTCTTCAATAACAGGTGGTCTTCCTGAGCAGGGAGCATCTTCAAGGCTGAAATTACCTGCTTAAAATTTTGCAAACTACTTTCGAACAGTTGATTCTGCTACAGCACTACCACCATAAACATCACATATTATTTTTTGCTGTTTGTACAGCATTTTTGTCTTTACAATAAAAAAAAGAAACAAGTATTGATAATGCACATTGTTCGCATCCATTTTTGCAAAGAGACAAATTGAGTGATATTTGAATAATCTTAACTTTTTTTGCTAACAGATGCATCTCAAGGTCATTTATTGTAATGTTAATTGGTTTGTACAATTCTAATCATTTTCATGTCAATCAGTGTCTCAACTGTCAAGCTATCAAAAATCGCTATGACCTTTCCAAACAACCCAATATATAAGAAATCTATTAATTTTATTTATTTATTAAAGAGAAAAATAGTAAAAACTGAATCTTATGAAAATTAAACACATTTATATATAAAAATTATAAAAAGTGTAAACACAAATACTGATTGGAAATCAGTATAAAATGTTTTTTATTCAGTTAAAATACTCAAAGGGAAAGCAACTGGACACCATCAAAAAAATTACTGATAAAATTGTGAGAAGCTTCCACATAGTCTTGAGATCTCTCTATGTCTTTGTAGTTTAAACTTTATTGTTATTCATAGAATCAGAAATAGTGTTCCCCATATGAAGATGGGGTTGGGAGTGCATGACATAAAAATCAATTAACAGCCATTATCTATTGGGTTGTTTGGAAAGTAATTTCATTTTTTTTTACCACTAGACAGATTAGTCGTATTTTTCCCGCCATTTTCATTCTAAACTGTATTATTATTATATATTTTTGACATCTAGCATTTTAAGGCTTATTTGTAAAAAATTTTGTTTGATTTTGTGCAATTGTTTATTTTTTGTGTCCCATCAAATATGGAAGATTGAAAGCAGCATTTTCGGCATATTTTGCTCTTTTATTACCGAAAAGGTAAGAATGCTGTTCAAGCAAGAAAAAAATTGTGACATGTATGAAGATGATGTACTGACAGAACGACAGTGACAAAACTGGTTTACAAAAATTTGTTCTGGCAATTTCAATATTGAATATGTTCTGGATGGCCAGTTGAAGCCAATGAAAACAAAATAAAGGTACTGATTGAAGCAAACTGCCAAATAACAACATGTGAAATTACTAAGAGATTAAATTTGTCAAATTGAACTGTTTATGATTACTTGAAACAAATTGGTTTCATTTCAAAGCTTGATATATGGGTTTCACTTGTTCTTAAAGAGAGATGCTCTCTTTGGTGGGATTTTGAGGAAATTTTTTTTTGGAGCTTTTACCAGACAATTTAACAATTGATTCGAAAGTGTACTGCCATTGAGTAAACAAATTGAGTAATATCATCAAACAGAAAAGGCGGCCAGAATTGATCAACAAAACAGGTGTAGTGTTTTACCA